AGCCTCAGCGTCGCCTTCTCCTAACACATCCCCTCGCCTCTCTTCGTTTTGCTGCTTCTCCCTTTCATCTTCGCCTCCTCTCGAGCCTCAGCTGCCCAGATCTTTCCAAGCAGGCGTCTGCAAAGGGCGACACCGCTCGCTCGCTCGCCCGCCCGCCCGCCAGTTGCTAAGAAACCGGGCCCTGAAATGGGCCTGTCGCCGACGAGGCTGTAAAACCTCACTTCCGGGGTTGCTCCGGAAGCGGCGAATGCGCTTGGTCACGGACTAGAAGCGGCGTCGCTCTCGGAAGGCTCCCTCTCGCTTCGCGTTTTCTCCGTCCCGGGAGCGCCGAGCCGGCCGGGACCGCGACCATACGGCGCCATGATCACCTCCGCCGGTGAGCGAGCGAGTGTCCGGCCGCCCGCCCAGAGGGCGCCCCGGGATCGTTTCCAGAGTCAGGCAGGGCCCGAAGCGACCCCCGCCTTTCCGGGGCGCTGGCCCGGCAGCCGCCGCCGCCGCCCCCTTCCCGCCCCCTGCGTCCTCCCCCTCGGTCGCTCCAGGGTGGCGTCCACGCGATAAGCTCGCCTGGCGGGCGGTGGGCAGTTTGGGGTTCCCAGACCCGCGTGAACACAAGGGGTGGGTCGCGCAGAGGGTTCCCCGTGGTTCTTGAATGAGCCCTCGCTTTGAGGTCGTGCTGGGTCGTAAACGGAGGGGCCAGCTGGGTCCACACGACATGCGGAACACGCCAAGGCGGGTGGTAGTCTTCACCTGACCTGGTTATGTGGGTGAGGCGAATACTTCATCAGGTTCGGGGGGTCGTCCCAGTCCAGGAAACGGGGTTAATGCAGTGAACTGTATCGTGTGAACGAAGCTCTTGACCTGGTAGCGTATTAGCTATAGGTAATATGGCTGGGATACGTTCAGTTTCCCCTGAGTACCCCGCCTGATCTCTCTCCTTGTTTTCAGAGCGGTGGGGTCCAGAATATCCAGACCAGCCTTTCCCAGTCTTGTGAATTTGGATGTGTTGGATTTCACATAATCTTTAGCTTGCATGAAGATGGGAATCTAAGTCTTAAGATGTCTGGAAGGGTCCAGAGTGGGGAGGCCTGGCATACCCATACATCTCCTTAAACCAAAGTAGACTTTCCCAGCCTGGTACCGTGCTGAGAGTTGTAGTCCCAATGCATTGAGAAGGCACCAGGTTGGAAGTCAGGGGAGCAGAGAGGACGAGGTGCTAGAAGGAGAAACGTGTTTATTGTTCTGGACAGTTTTTTACAAGTCTGCCGTATTTTCAAAAGCCTTGAGAAATGATTTTCCTGTCTTGTTTTTGGAGCCCTGCAGTTAGAACTTCCAAGTGAGTGAGTTAGCTTTACAAACCCCTGCCTCTGACTATTGGTGTTCCTGGAAAGCATAAACAATGCTTCATAGCATTCTTATTTTCCACAAGGAGGAGCAGTTTACAACCCTTAGAAAGTGAAATGCCTTTAGTCATAAATGCTGTGTGTAAAAACAGGGCATGCATGATAACCTGGCGATAAATGAGTGGATGGGAATTAATAGAACTTGAAATTAGCTCCCTCCGATATCATTTAATGTCTTGGATCCATTGATTTATGGTTATAGGATACCTGTTATTTGAGACTCCATGACTTGCTAGGACTTGCTTCCAAGTAAGCATGGATAGAATTGTTGTATAGGCCTTGTTCATTTCAGCTTAGTTCATGTTAGAATGTTGTTATTACGGTCCAACTCAACCTTGTCTGCAGTTTTCTTGGCAACATTTTTGGAAGTGGATTCCCATTGCCTTCGTAGGGTTGAGAGGGAGGGACTGGCCCAAAGTCACTCACCCCAGGGCAAGGCTAGAACTCACAGTCTCCCAATGTCTAGCCTGGTGCTTTTATCTACTTATACCAGCCGGCCCTTGGCTTGCTGGTAGTTTCTTCCTAAGGATGAGAGAGAGGGACTGGCTGAAGTGAACCAGCTGATTTCTGTGCCTGAGGCAGGACTAGAATTCAGGGTCCCCTAGCTTCTAATCCAGGGCCTTAACCACTAGACCAAACTGGCTCTGGAGAATCAGAATAGTTGATTATAAACTTTCTTTGCTATTAAAAGGTTGTAGTAATTGTAATTATCAAAATCAAGTTCTGATATCTAATTTTGTAAATACATTTGTAAATCACATTTATTCCCCTTTACTGTAGCAAATCTGAAATAACCCTGTTTATTTTAAAGTGTAAATTCTATGTGATGGATAATATAACTTTTTCTTTTGCAGCTGGAATTATTTCCCTTCTGGATGAGGAAGAGCCAGAACTCAAGGTGGGCTTGTAAGCTTTTTTTCTGAGTTCAGAATAGAAGTACACCAGGTTCTGAGGGTTGACATACAATATTTTTAAAAATTAAGATTGTTTCAGTTGTTACTTTTTACTGGCTTAAGAACTCGAGATTACTATCTTCAACTCTGTACATACTCCACTTTTAAACAGTGGGGTTTTC